CGACTTGGCTTGCATTTCTTTGCAATTCTCAGTAAAACTATGACCAGATTCAATGCAACATACGCTACATTGGAGACATGTCGTATTTAGTTATCTTGCACAACGTACATCGCAATTTATTAGCTTTCTCCATTGAATGGTTTTCGATCTAATTTTTTGTTATTGCGTGACAGTGAAAACGAACTATACCCTTCGAACAACAAAACAGCAACTAAGGAATATGTTTTTGTAAAATGATAAAACATATTTTTTACTTTGTATTTTTTTAATATATGTTCTCACCTTCCTCTGATATAAATCCATGCCATTCCTTATTTTTGACCGGGATCATTTGCGGTCCAATATGGGGATCATTTACGATCCGGGATCATTTGCGGTCCTGGGATCATTTGCGGACCCGTACAATTGCATACTTATGATTAAGGAGAAAAAGGAAACCCTTTTTTCTCTACTTTCCAAAAACGGAAGGTCCGTCAAAATTTTCATTTTCAAGTCAGTGCGAAATCAATTGTTAGCCAAATTTATGAGCTGTACAAAGGTATCAAATAGCGAATTTTTCATTGACAATTTTAGAAACCAGGTTAAGCGTTTTCGCTCAACCGTTGCTCCACTGATTGTGACGTGTTAAGATCCTAATGACCTTTGTTTTTCTTCACCGTGCATTGTGAGAAATTTGTAGTCAATCACAAATAAATCATTTGTTAGCGCCCGAGATGTTGTCGCCATGTTAATGAAGAATTGGTGAATTCATGCTTTTAGCTGTGCGCATATCGAATTATGGATGCACTTGGGAAGTTTGGAGAGCACTCAAGATGTTAGAGTTGCTCTTACACTTCTTTTGTGCTCTCCAAACTTCCCGAGTGCATCCATAACTCGATATACGCACGTTAAGCATGAACCAATTCTTTATTACATTTGTAAACTGGTGTTATTGCCTTTAGATCAAGCAATTAGATAGGCTATTCTCTGATACATCACTGACAACTATCAAAGTTGAATCAATGAATCACACAACCACTCTTTAGGAAGTAAAATTCGTTACTTCCTTCTCATTGAGATAAAAGTTGTCAAGTAACGTAAGATCGATCTGACGTTATCATAACTAATGTGATGAGAAAACACACTATAACAGATATGTTTCGAGCATGATTGGGCTATATGCCTCAGATCGAATCAGAAAAGTATTTATATACGCGGCTGCATTGCGATGCTTCAACCAAAAAGATGTACCTCAGCTGGCATTGTCAAGAAATCAAACTCACCTAACACCAAATGAAGAAATGCAGCAAAGAGAGCAATCCGTCTACAGAACGCGAGATCGCGTTTTATCGCCATGAGCGTGTGTTTCTGTTACAATTAGAAAACGCCTGACGGATAAACTGCAGAACAGTGTTAAATACTGTAACAATGACGTGGGCAAAATAGAGGCCCGTAATTATGTGTTTTGTTTTGCTGTTGTTGTTCACACGTCCTATTTTCGTTTTAGGCGTGGCTAATAAAAATTCGACGGGATGTCTCCCCAGCATTTTACCGAGTTGCTCTCACGAGTAGCCTTTTTCTATGCAGCAGCATCCTCAGTTCACTGATTCTCAATTCTCGCTGTTTCTTTGCTTGGGAAAGTCAACATTACATGCAACTTTGAAGTTTCCTTCAGTGGGTGCTATTTGATAGTTGAAATATCCTCCCAAGGGGGCAGGTCCAACTCTGGTGGGTACATTTTCACCCTCAGTATCCATGTACAAATTGAGCCAAACGTTCTTGTTCGACTTTTGCAATGGGCTTTTTTTTAAGTCCATTTTAAAGGTTAAAGGTTGTTTAAGACCTTCAATCGCTGTGTTGCTTGGGGCTGTCTTCACTGCCGGATACAATGAACAGGAAATGCCAGGTGAAGTTTGTACTGAAGTGGTCCCCCCACCTGGCATGTCTAATATGGGTTTCTAAAAAACCATGTCCATCAATGGTTCTGATGAGGTCAGAACCATTGGCTAATGCCACTGCTGGGGAAGGGACGTATAAATCAAATCATCAAGAATAGATTTATTTTTTGTCATGTAGTAGTGAGATACAAGATCAATTAGGCCCACATAGATCCAGCTACACAGGTGCAAGATGATGCAAGGACATCATAGGGTTATTCAGTGGAAATTGCTAACCTAATTTTATGTGGGGATTCATTTTTCCCGAAGATTTCGATAGCAAAGGGCTCTGATGTAAAAGGTCTTGCTTCCTTTGTGGTGCTTGACTAAAACATTGTGGAGGTAAGCTTCAATAAAAGAAAAAAAAACTTACACCACGCTCGAATTTTGAATGTTTTTACCAGAGTTTCTAACACGCTTCACAATAGAATTGAACGTGAATGGGGGAAGATCGTCCAACAGTTTCTCCATTTCCTTCTCTTGGAGACAGAACGGGAATTTTTCTTCATTCTTTTCTGAATCACTCTTTTTTTGTCTAAACAGATGAGGCTCCTTTTCCTTGATGGTCATTTTCATTTTGCTGAACACCTGTCACCACTGCGGGTGAATTTTTTTTTTCTTTCAAGAAAAAAAAAAACCTCTTCCACTGTACAAAGGGAAGTAAATATAGGACGCCTATCTTATATTTGTCATCAGATGCGCGGAAATAATGAAACGAACGAAGGTTTAAACGATTTTAAAATTTATTCACTTTCACCTAACTACTTCACGCCAAGTGGCGCGTAAGGCCTCAAAATTTATTCAAAATTTATAACAATGAAAATGCAAAGGCGGTTTTAGTAAAAACGCCGCCGACCTCCTCTAAGATGTACTTTGAAATATTTCGAGGACATCAATTCTTGAACGCGTGCGGGCTTTTCTCTCAATTTCAGTATCCGATTCCTCAGTGCAAAGGTTACAAAATTCCAAGGAAAACAGAGACAGCCAGCCCTCACCAACGGTTACTACCGAAAAGCCTCGCTTTGGTGTTATCGTCGCCATATTTGCAATCGGTGTATTAATTGACTGTGAGGACTTTGGTTACGTTTCTGTAAGACCTAGAAAGTCCCTTGAAATGCCGGTTATAGTGGCTTGTACAGAAAAAACGAACAAGCAAATAGTGTATGTTAATTTCCTCGTGAGGACACTTGGTGATCTCGATTAAATGACGCTTTGCCTTGATTCACTCACAGTCGAGAGTTAATGTTTTGCCATGAGAAAATATACTTCACTGCGAGAACGAGTAGTTATCATCCATCAAATTTGTTAGCCGTACGTTTGGAAGTTAATTCCGTACACATACTACAGAGATTCCGCAATATTAAGCATAAAGGAAGATGAGGATTTTGTTTTGTTTACCGCTAACAGAATACATTTCCCTGGGTGTGATTGGTGTTTAATGATCAGGCGAGAAGGAGACGTTGTTATGGCACCGCCTTGTGGGGAAGAGCATATTCTGTACATCACGAGGTACAGTACAAAATCGAGCTTATTGGAAGATAAAGCGCCCCTTCCTTTGGAAATAATCCATGTTAGAGGGAATTGTTTTTGTAGCTCACGAAAATTTTAGTTATTTTCTTGATGGTGTGGTCAGGCCCGGAACTGACAATGCACTTAGAGATGTTGACAGGTACAACTTCCCTGAAAACAAGTGAGACAAAACAGTTGAGCTACAAGGAGAAGCGAGAAAATGGGCTTGATGAGCCGCTGTACACAGGCAAATTCCCATCGCTGGTGGAGTCAATCTACAAGGCT